TAATGAGTGAGATATGAGAGTAGGAGAAACCTGGAGAGGTATTTTGTTATGATTAATTAAATTTAAAAACAAAGAGCTGTGACTGTTTTCTTTCTTTAAATTAACCTTAAAATTATTTTCTAATACTTTTACTAAGAAATAAGTCAGTATGCAACAGTTACAATGTAGAGAAGAACCATTTCTTTAGATGGGAAATATTAAGCCGTATTGTTTTGGAGATAACAAATATGCATAGAATAATAATAAGACTGTACTAATACGTAAAAGAGTTTTAAATCTTACAATCCAAATTCTATTTGTTACAAAAATGAGATCAAGGACAAGCTGTAGAAATTAATGAAACTATTAGTAATATAATTTTAGAAGCACTTTTAATGTTTTTAAATTTGCTCTATTGTTTTCATATATCTTATCATTTTAATCAACTGGTTCAGTCCAAATTAAAATCTTTATATATGTCAAGAATTTTTCAGTATGCTCCCTCATATATATATATATATATATATATATAGATATATATATAGATATATATATATGCACATTTCATTGAATATGACAGACAAGGTGCTTTTATTTAGTTTTTTATATAAATTTCTCATGCAATCTTTTTGTATAAAAAACTAAATAAAAGCACCTTGTCTGTCGTATTCAACGAAATGTGCATGAATATATGTGTGTGTGTGTGTGTGTGTGTGTGGAAATTCAGATATACCTAAAATATATCTATAAAAGGACAATGAATGAAGACAAAAGTTAAACTTATTTTAGTTGACACATTTCATCCTCTTATGGACTTTATCAAGGCAAATGTCTTATTTGCTTTGATAAAGTCCATAAGAGGAGGAAAAGCAGATCAGCTAAGTTTTCCTTTTGTCTTTATTTAAATATATATGTTATAAGTGAGTGAATCAACACTGCATAATAACCGTCAAGAACTTGATCTGAAGATTGCATTGAAGTATGAAACTGACAGTCACTATCCAGTGTTGATTTCTTATCACTGTCTAATTCTATAAACACTATCTTCAATATTGAGTACTCTTCCTCTATAAGTGTAGCATGTTCTCAACAATATATACGTGTATGTCTATGACCAAATGTTTTTAATGATATTTTGTTTTATAAAAGTTTAATTTCTGATATCTGTACATACTACTGTCTATAAAATGTATTTGAAGTTTGTAGTTGGTCAAATACATTTATCATATGTCAATTATTAATCAGAAATCTGTCTTCAGAATATCTGCAAAAAATATAAATGAGAGTTATCTTTTTTTCTTAAAAATTCAGCAAATATATGATTATGCATGTAATTTTTTGTATATTATAATTTAAGATTTTTTTGTAGAATTGTAATGTTTAAAGATTCATTATACAAAATAAATAAATGAAACTATAGCCTTTTTTTTGTTTGACAAAGATAAAATGGACATTTTTTAACTACAATCACAGGTTTATAGACCATACAAATTCAACTTCATTTTGTGACTTTTTTTGCATCACTTCAGCTCAATTCCATCATCAGATGAAGATTTGCTGGTTGAAAATTTGTGAACTTCACTTTCCAATGAGTTTACAATCCAAATAAAATTCAGCAAATACTTGAAAAAATCCTCATACCATAAAGTCAGTTTTAATTATTGATTTTGGCCATTATATTTTCTAGTCCAGCTTGGTTAATTCATTCAGATAGACATCAATACTTTCTTTGTCAAAGAGAACAAAATAAATTTGTTTTAATGAAGATGACATCACGGTAGAGAAATAACTGCTGATAGCACGAAGAATGATTTGTGCAGCTGTATTCTTTGGGAAACCACCACTGAAAAGAAAAAAAAGCAAGCAAATCAGTCTTGTACAAAGATAAATGAAATAACATTTGTTTTTCATTTTAAAATTAATGGCTATATTGATTGTGGTCTAGATTATAGTTTTTTTTAATACTTTCACTTTAATTCATTGCAGAAAGTTATTGATCACTCTACTTTTTACCCCTTAGTCATTCAAGCCTGAAAGTAAGCATTAAATACAATGATCAATTCAGTTACATGTTGTTATGGGTCTGTTGTATTCTAGGAATGTAACATTTTTTTATAATAAAGTCTATTGTTATAACAATCTAATAAAGTTTATTATTTTTATTGTAAATTCTCAAGAACAAAGAGAATGTATAAGTCCACTTTCATATGTTTAGCTTTGATTACAATTCTAATCATCACTTTTTAAAACAATAAACATTGCCAACAAGTGAAGATAGTTAAAATAAAAGAAGTGTCATAGGAAAAAACTGTCCTTTCTGACACTTCGTTTTTTTTGTGGACATGAAGGTCCATGTTTGCCAAATTATCTATAAAACTAACCAGTTTTTACAAAAGAATGATTGAAAAGTCTTCAAACTATGTCATTAACACATTTTTATAAAATTGGGAAAACTATATTAGAATTTGTTTATTATGGACTAAATATATGTTTCAATAAACATTTTTCTAGTCTTGTACATTACTATAGAAGGATTAAAATATCTTTGCAAAGTTAAACACTGTATAAAAACTTTTCCAATATTTTACACATATCTGTCTGAATTTCTGGAATCAGGAGTTATCATTATTTACATCCAGACTAATGTCCTCATCAATGTAAATAGTGTAAATAATTTTACATATCATTTACTGTTGAATTTCTGACTGTTGTAAGACAGCCATTTATCATGCAAGTAATTTCTTTTTAGCTAAATTGTAAATAATTTATATTTTTAAAAAAATACCAAAAACAAAACACACTAGACAAAAGAGAAAAGCCCAAGTGAATATAATATTTATTTTATTACATATGAGATCAAAATAACTGTTTCTAGAAGTAGCAGGACTGTAAAATCATAAATTATGATCGATTATTTTGGCTTCAACAGTATTAAATTTAACATGGGACATTCTTGGGAAACTGGAGCAAAATTTTTAAAAAAAATCATGTCTTTTCAGAAATCGGTACATCTCTAATCAAACTCCTTTGTCAACAACTACAGAAAAATCCATTGTAGTGTCATTGTACATTAAATATATTAAATTTATTTGGAGGGTGAAGTGTGATTAAAAATGAGTTAAGTAATATCAAACCTAGTCAGTATCTAAATGAGTGACTGCTTGGGAATACCAGGTGCTGTAAGCATCGATGCACAGTTGGTGCAATGGATAATGGCTTGGAATTGGAAATCAGAGTGCCAACTTCCAATTTCAATTGGGTACATTATATTCACTTACATGCAAATACCCTTAGAAAAAATATGAATCTGCCTCTTATCCCCCCAGTTATGGATTAATTAGTAAGAATTGTGTCAGTAAATCATTATTATTTTTTTTTAAATTCTTACAATGTAAAAATATTTTCTGGCTTTAAATAACCTGAAAAAGGTTGATAAGCTGTAAAAAGCAAATCAATCAAGATGCAATGTAAATATGTTACTTTTTCATTCCCATGTATTGGGAAAAATAGTGGAATGTTTTCCTGTTGCCTTCTTCACAGTTTGGACTGGCTGCTAGAGAATCCAGTCTATTCTGCTATTTAACACATAGCTGAATGGAAAAAAGATGGATTCATGCCTTTCTCAAGAGCATTAGTGCAAAAGTGAATTGAACCAATACCACCTATCTAGGTGGTGTTGATTGAACAGACTAGCCCAGAATTTAAATTCAGTTAATCAATATTTGCTATACTAACTGCACATCCTGTCTTAGCAGAAAAAAATACTTGAGGAAAAAAAAAAAATTTCTGAAATTTTTAACAATTTTATACTTCAAAATACAGATTTTTCAGTCATTTAAAAAAAAAAATGTTCATGACTTTCTTGAAAATTTGGAAAGCCTTTATCATAAAGTATATCTTATGGTCCCACAGCAAAAATACTCAAACAAAATTAATAATTTCTATCATAAACTCTTCAAAAATTATTTTTGTAACAAAATTATATATACATACATAAATAGTGTTTAATTTGGGAATAAACCTAAAATATAACTTTGTTAGTAATCTGAAAAGATCTTTTCACAGCTAAATTACATAATTTAAAAAGAGTAATCTTATTTTTAAAGCTACAATGATACAATAATACAGCACTAGTAATTTCATTTATTATAACAAATAAAATTTTTTCAGCACTGCTTGAAAGCAAGGTCAATAATGAACATGTAATTTGAGTCACTGATAAGCATGAATATCTGACAGGAATCATGCAAACAAACATGCAAAGATTTGAATCAAAGTCAATGTAGGAACTGTAGATTTTACAAATGGACAAATATACTAAGATTGTGTTGTGCCAAATTTCAAAATGAGGAGAGCCTGCTTGCCTTGAAAATCAGCATTCAAAATCCTGACTTTTACCAGAACTTGAATTCTGATCTAATGGCACCAAAGGCAAATACAAATATCTCGGTCATTAAGCAGGCTCTCTGATTAACATACACATATATATATATATATATATATATATATATATATATATATATATATATATAGGAGGCAAGAGAGAACAAGTTTCGTTCAAGCGACAAAAAATGTCAAAGTATCATATACATTACCGAATTCTTCATGAAGGAAAAAGAGAGATTTGTGTAAAATTTAAATGTCTATATAAACAAGCAAGAATTAAAAGTAGAATAATGTTAAAAAAAAAAAAAAAAAGACAATTTGGGAATAAAGAGAGTTCTCTAATTTTTTTTATGATGTTTTGATTTTAAAAAATATCTATCTATATAATTTAATATAGTTGGTTAAAACACCAACTCTGCAAAAAAAATCTCAGCAGCTGAAAAAACAAATTCTTAATGACAACCAAACTAATAAGAAACTTATAAAATATAAAAAGAATCTCGTTGATGTGCTACTAAAGTTTGACCCAATCTAAGGCTCTTAAGGCTGTTACTAGATTATATATATTTCACATTAATAATACCCAAAGTCTGAGGTCTAAATATAATGGAAATTTACTTCATACACCTGGATGTATATATAAATATTACCACATATTGACAGACTAATCATTGGCTGCTTTATATCACATTATTTTTTTAATATATAAATACTATTAAAAAAAAGCATCTAATGAACTTTTTGGCCAACCTTTCTTCACAGATATATTGTTGGTGAAAATTTTTTTTTAATCATACTGACAACACCACCAAAAACATTTAGGGGACTAATAGGATAGGAGAATACATTGGTGCATGATTAAGATATCAATTGCATTCTTTTAACAATAAAGAAACCAATTTAATTTGTACACAAATTCAAACTTTTATACATATTACACGGGGTTCATTCTCAGTATATGTTGAGAATTGTTGAGGCAGTTGCAATCAAGTTAAAAAGACCTACCCTGTGTAAGCAAAAAGAGAACTTTAGCCATTCCCTTCTTCTCCTGAGTGAACACTAATCACTCTTCATATTTATTTTCCATTTCTAGTGTTTTGTCAGATTAGTAATCAATTTTATTCATTTTTATTTCTATGAATTAAATTGTTTTTTTTTTAAATGTCAGAAGAAGACAATTTTTATCTTTTAATCCTGCACAAGCGTGTTCTCCTATCCTATTAGTCCCCTAAATGTTTTTGTGTTCTTGCCAGTATTAAAAAAAAAAAATTTTGTCATCGATATATTTCTGAAGAAGGGGTGCCCAAAAGGTTCCTTAAATATTTTTTAATAATATCAAGATGCTTTCATTAGTATTATTTAAAGCTTTGTTAAAATTTTATATTATTAAATCATTGTTTAAATATATTATATAATTTTAAAAATCTCATGTAAAACAAATAATGGTAAATAACAATTATAATGGTTATAAGACTTTAGATAAAACATTTAAAATTACATAATTTATATCTGTAGGTTTTGGAAATATTTCTATCTATCTATATTGCTTAAGTAAAAATTATGATGAAAACATACAGATTTATTGGATTAAGCTAGCTTTAGCATGACCACAATGGTGGCAAACTCAGCAAAAGTAAACTCACTAACAGAGTAAGACTAGCATTCTTGTTCCTGCTCTAGTAATTGCTAGCTGCTCATGCATCCATTTGCTAGGGGAGCAAGCTAATCCCTTTTGCAGGTGCTTGCTCAGGCACATTTGCATTTGTTCAATACTAACAGAGCCAACCTATGGTTAATACTGCAAGTGCAACTATGCTGAGCAGACCTTAGATACAATTACTGCTCTATGACAAATAGAAATATTTACTTAATTTTGTCAGGTACCAGACCACAAGAAGTAACATTTACTAGCAATGATTTTTTTTAATTCATTTGGTAAATTATTGTATTACAACACACCTGCACAAACAAATATATTAAATCATCTCATAAATAAATAAAGTCCAAATTTAAAAGGTTAAAAAAGTTTACAATTGCAATTTATTTATTGACATAAGTCTAATCATTATTTATAATCTTCCAATGATTTGCATATTTCCTATCTTTTTGCAAATGTCTTTTAGTTTTGAGAAAAAACATTCTACCTCTTGATGCCTTTATAGAATTAAGACCATCAAGATGGTTCTATAAACTCTGAAATAGATAAGAATCAAATGGAACAAAATATGGAGTATATCAAGGTTATGAAATTTTTTCCCAGCCAAATTCAGACTTTAGATGTGATCCTTACTGTATGAAGCCATGCATTAACATGATGAACACTACATCTTTATAATTAATTAAATCATGTTTCTTTGCTTTCAAAGTAGTGTCTAAACTGGTAACAACTCAACACTAATATCACTAAACATTTAACCAAAATGTTTAGGGGATAGCAGTGCATTTTTCATTATGCTT